ATTGGGCATGCATCCTTCCCACCACACATGTGTGGAGGTCAGAAAACAACTTGACGGAGTCTGGTCTGAGTCCTGGAGATCAAACGGAGGTCATTTTGCTTGACAGTGGTGCCTTTACGTGGGAGCTATTGCACTCATCCTGATATGGTTTATCTGAAGGATCTGTTTGCATTTGTTAGAACCAATTAAAAAAAGGATGAGTTGTGTAAAAATACTCAGCTGTCTACTTAAACATACATTGTTTTCCTAACAAAATTATTGGACTATTTAGAGATTTTCATTTTTAACAATGATATCAAACTATCATATAAATTTAAGCGAGCCCTTTAATAAGTGAACCATGATCAAATTTTAAATGTAACATAAATTTTTGCAATGCTTATATATTTCAGACACTAATATACAACTAAGTAACAATTGGAGTATTTTAAAGAATATCTTGTCTAAGAAAAGTTAAAAAAAATGAAAATAAGTGGTTATATACTCCTCTGAATATTATTACACTGGATGTTAAAATACTATCCAATAAGCAGATTTATTTGTTGTTGTTGTTTTCTTTTATATTGAAGAGGAGAGGATTTCAAGACAGGGTTTCTCTGTGCAGCTTTGAAGCCTGTCTGGGAACTCTCTCTGTAGACCTGGCTGGCCTCAAATTAATACAGATCCTCCTGCCTCTGCCTCTCCAGGGCTAGGATTAAAGGTGAGTACCACCTGGCCAGCAAACAGATTTAAACTTGGATGTGTTTTAACTATTTTTCCCAAAATATAGAAAATTTAGCTTAAAATAAAAATAAAAAATAAAAAAAGAAAATGTTTCTGTGGTCCATTACAAATAGAGTAACAGTGTTGGGACAGGAAGCTCAGCAGCAAAGCCTTGCCTTGAATGTGTTAGGCCTGAACTTATTCTTGAACAAAAGATGACATTTTGCAGATTGAAAATTCCTGTCACACACATTATCTTTTCTTGTTCTTTGCAAATTAAATCCTCATTTCCAACTTTCTATGAGATGGTTTTACCAGAGATTTTGGAATATTTGCCTGTATATGATACTGTTGTCACCCCTTAGCAGAAGTAGGACATAACAACTGAGTCCTGCTTGCATAATACTTCATGTTTTGTTTAGTTCTACTTTGAAATCACTTTCGTTGCTTCTAAATCATGTCATTTATCCTTTTGTGCTACAGTTTTCTGAAACCCTTTTCCCCCTTCACCTAACTGTATGATGTATACAGCTCACTGAAGAGTGGAGCATGTATACGCACTTCTTTGGTGAACATTAGTCTGGAACCTTCTCCAATGGAAAAGCATCAAAGCTTACTTTGTTCATTTTCATTTGTCATTGTTGCTGCTCTAAATGCTATTTGACTTATTTTTAACCTTTCTATATGAAGTGTTCAAGAGGTATGACTGAGCAACCAATCAGAAGCACTGTTTCAGCCACTCATGCTATGAGAAGCTAAAACAAGAACATAGCTAAGCCCAGGCAATGGATTTCTCCTGACATCTCAACACAATGTTGTTTATTTGTCAGCTCATTAGACAAACCAAGCACAACAGAAGCAGTAGAGACAAGTCTCATACCCTTGTTGATGTCCCACAGTTCTGATTTTATCCTCAATGAATTTATTGGGATTTAATAAAATGTAACTAAAAGAAAAAACTGGAACACAACTAGGAATGTTTATTAAGTGTCATGGTATATAAGTCCTTCAGAAAATGAATGGAAGGAGAAATGACAGAGGTGCAGAAATGTTACAGTCTAGTCATTAACTGTTCAAACTATAGTTAATTAAGAGGCTGTTCAACATCTCTAAGAGGCTGATGACATCATAGATCTTTGTGTGCCACCATTCCAAGTGATCACAACAACCCAATATTTTCAATTTCTGGGCTTTTATTTTAGACTTAAATTTTGAGCATTTTTAATTTGTTATCAGCACATGAACTTCATAATGTTTTCTCAAATTGTAATTATAATCTTAATACAACCAAGCAGATTTAAAAAAAAATCTCCCTCATAGAAACAAATTTTTTGAATGGAACTAAGTAAGAATATTGGAGTTTATATGCAAAAAGACCTACCTTATATATGGATTCTTAAACCACAACTATTATATATATATTTTCATTGAACAATCCAAAACCATCAATATTTGCATAAAGGCACCTGCTAGGCTAACCAGAGTTTCTTCTTAAACTATACTTTTCCATAAACTGTTTTTTTTTTTTTAAATGAAGTGTCTAAGTCAGTCTCACTCTAAGAAAGAATCAAACCCTAAAAGTACTAGTTAAGTTCTCACTAAATTTGGTCAGTTTTCCAAAGAACCCAGGAAGCAGCCTCCACCTCTCCATCCTCCATTGGCAGCATCTGACTAACTCTTTTAATGTTAAATACAAGACAAACACCTTTATGAAACTTGGCTTCTCCACAATCCTTATTGCAATTGTCCAGCATACCTATCTGCTGTCATTAAATTCAGCCCCCCCCCATATTTTGCCTATTTTTAATCTTTCTCCTCCATATCAAACTGGCAGGAAAATAGCCTTTTTGTTTCTGATTTTAAGAATTTTAAGGACTAAAATAGGCATTTAAGTTCTTCCATAATGTTTAGTCATTCTATAATTGGGAAAGGGCTTCATGATATAAAACAGGATTCAACTTAAAACACTATAGTCTGGACCAAATACTGTGACATCAGGCAAAAAAAAATGTCCTTCATTGTCATAAAAAGAGACATCAACTCCAGTTCTGAGAATTGTTCCTTTAATTAACAAGAAACATATTGTTATCGTTCTTATTGAATAAGCAGTTACCATTTGCAGATGTGAAAATCATAAGGAATCAGCTCATTATTGATACTAAAAAATTCTTTTTGACAACATAATATGGCATGAGAATCAGTTTAACTGTTCCATTGCCATTATTATCACAGCTTAGTTATCTTTCCTATCAAAGTGTGCTTAACTAGGATAGGAGAAATCTTTAAATCATAAAGGCTTGATGTGTAGCCCAGACGATTTACTAGAACAAATGAATTTTAATACAGAGAATTTTTTCAAAAGTTTTTCAAAAATAAGGGGAGATAATCTGAATAAAATGACAATACTCCTTAGTATATACTAATCTTAGCTACCTCAATATAACTTTTTGCTAATGAAAAAAATCAATTAGGATTTTCCTCCCTGGGTCTTTGTCTGTGTGGGAAGCTGAATAAAGCAGCTTCCCTCAGGCCTGCCTGGTAACTACATCAAGATCCCAGAAACCTATGGATTGTTTACCTGTCAAAAAAGATGTGGCATGTGATTGAGAAGGCTGGGAGGGCAAGATCAACTGTATATATATATTTTTTTTTTTAGTAAACCCTAAGTATAATCACAGGTGTCCTTGCAGGAGATGTGACAGCAGAAAGGAAGGTATGTGATCCAGGAGGCAAAATTGAAGTGTTATAACTAGTAGTCAGGACATGCTGGCAGCCCAGAAACTGAAAACAAACAATGCTTCTCTAGAGTCTCCAAAAGGAAGTGGCTTTCCTAACATCTTGATTTTAGCCATTTAAGGCTGACTTTGAAATTTTTACCTCCAGAAATGTAAGGAGGTAAATCTATGTTGGTACTAAAGTTATGTAACTTGTTATAGCATCTACAGGAAGCAAGACTTCTGTGATTTGAAGAAATACTACACATTCTCTTGTTCGTGGTGTTTCATTTTGAAACACCCCAATAAAATAATTTCTCACTGATTATTTGGAAAGTAATATTCTTTGTTTTAAGAAATTGTTGAATATGTGCACATCTTCAATGAGACATTAAAAACTAGGGGATATATATTTTCATTTCTTTTACGAAGTTGAAGAGAAACATTACTTTACCAATTTGGATGTTTGGTAGCCAAAGCTATTGAAATACAAAATGCAAGAATCTTGCAAAAATCAGCTGCTAGATTTATTAATCTTCCTGAAAGAAAAAGAAAAACCAAAAAATCAAAATATAAAGTCTTTCATTTTGCTAAAATTTACGATGCTATATTTTGAAATTGTCTGTATCAGGAATATTCTTAATGTTTGCTGATGATTTATTTAGCTCATTAAGTCACTACCTATAGCAACAAAACCTGTAGTTGTCCTTAGATATCAGAATGAATACATTTATTCTTGTGATCCTTTAAAACAGCTCATGGTCCAATTCTTCCTCCCTGACTGACTAGGACAAGCATATTAAAAATGAAAAAGAAGAACAATAGAAAAAGAAAAGATTCCTCAACACAATTTACATTTAAAGATGCACTTAGGATTTCCTTCTATTTTGCCAAATAGCCCAATCATGTATCTCAGTTGGCTTGGCTGTCCAATAAACATTTTGCTTGTTATTTAGAAAGTCGTTTTCCATTCTAAGTGCTATAAGTAGCCACATGATCGTGGTGGGTGTCCTGACTTTTAAGGTGTACTTATCAGCCTGTGAAGAGCCAAGTGACATACATTTGTAGACATACACAGGCATCGAAATATTTCTGGAAGATACTGATAGTACAGGCTTGGGCGTGTGGAGAGTGAAAGAACTGTTGATTTAGAGAAACAACTGTAATAATCTGTGCAGCATAGAAAATGGCTACTGACAGCTCATCTTCCCAAAGTCTTTCTTGTGCTCAGAAATGCTTTCCTAGGGTTATTTGGGCTTTGAATTTAAGGATATTCTAAACAAAAAAAGCATTGTTCTATAGATTCTTCACAAAGTTTTTCTCCAGAATATTAACAAACTGAGCGCAATTCACTTCCTTTGCTTGGATGTTGAAAGCAGCTACTCAAGAGTTAGACACCATTTCTGTATGGTTTTCAGAGTGAACGTAACATGGCACACGTTTAATGCTGTTGTTTTTAAATGTAAAACAAAACAAAGGCAAAATCTTTGAAACGTCAGATCTTTGAATTGTTCTTTCATACAATCTGATCACATTTACAGGCGTGTCCAGAAGGAGATCATGGACAACATCAGTACCAGCACCGTCACACAAAGACTTCCTCATATTCTTTAACAGTTCATAAACAATGTCCCATTTCCCCAAAAGTTACAAAGGTTTCCACAGTTTCCCTTAGCAAGCTGAAGCTCACTCCTCATTTGTCAATGTGCATAAAAGCTGCTTATAGCATAGCATGGTGTAAGCTATTTCTTAAGCAATAAATGGTTTGAGTCATCTATTTTGTCCTGGAATGCTATCTGTAGTTAACTGCATTGCCTATAAATGGTCATATTAAATTCAGCATGAAAGAGAATATTACAGAAAAGACAGCAGCAGAAGCATTAGCATTATCTAATATTTATATATGTTATCAACAGAACACAGCAGTGAAACATTTAAATGCATATCAATGGGTACCATGTCTAAAAATTACTATCATACCTATTTAGTGTAGTGGATATTTTTCTTAAAGAGTGCTTGCTGTAACTAGAACAGCATTGTATGTGATTTAGTACAGTTAATTCTTATTGATTAAATAATGTATTTATGTACGGAGGATAGTGAAAGGAGACAGGTAAATTTTTTTTCCTTTTTTTTTCTTTTTTCCTTTTTTTTCTTTTTCTTTCTTTTTTTTTCTTTTTTTTTTTCCTTTTTTTTTGCTTCATTGTGATCCCAGATTTAACACTTAAATGAATATTCCAAAGGATCATGACATGTCATTATTTAACTGAAATGGGCATCGACATATTCAAAAGACAGTATTTGTACTGAAACAGTAAGATGGCACCAGATATATGTAATGCTACTGGCCTATGACTCAGTGGGAGCCAGAGTCTAAAACTGTGCCCCTCATTTACAGTCAAGGTGATTACTCAAATTTCAGAGAATTGCCCACATTTATGCTTATCTTTCACAAGTCATCTGTAAAGCAAATTGGAACAGAAAGAACAACAAATGCAATTGCTAAATATTTTTTTTTCTTTACAAGAGGTGCAAAAACAGTCATTTCTAACATTAAACTGCCATTTACAGTATTTTTTTTGTACACCTGCAAAGACTTCAGTAATGATGAGGAAATGCTCAAGGCAAATGGTCTCCAAGTAGGTATTTACACAATATCAAATCAAATGTACCGTAGATACTGAGAAAATTATCTTACGTTATTATGAAATCGAACAAACATGATATAGCTTCATCATACATAAAACCAGTAGGACCCCATCCCAAGCCTACGTAAAAAGAAATTTCTAGTTCCCTCTGCCCATTCACCCTCCGTCTTCCTGTTACAAAGAATGAATATCTAGATTACACCCACCCACCCTCAAATAAAGTGCGCAGTCCATGGCAGACCATAGAATAATGCAACAGGAAAAGCCCCCTTTTGTATTATTATTATTTAAAAAATAAAATACAAACAACAAAAATAAAACAAAGATTGAAGAGAGTTCGGTGACTCTAAGTTGAAAAAAAAAAAAAAAAAAAAAGAGGCGAAGCACAGGGTGCCCTGCTTGACTGTCATTCATTTTAGTACACATAGCCTTCGTTGTAGGGGTGGGGGTTGCAGCAGCCCCCTTCTGGCATATAGGCCATGCTCTCATCAAAGTGAGATAGAGGCACCGTGTCCTCCTCGTTGATGTGGCGTTCCATGTCCGTCTTCAGCAGTGGGCGCTGGTTATCCGGAAAGGCCATGGAGAAAAGAGCTTCCGGGTCACAGACAAATTTGTAGACATATCTCTCTCCAGCCACCTGAGAACATCATGGCAAAGGCCAGTGTCACCATAGGTAGGGGAGAGAGAAACAAACACTCATTAATACGCCAGCAGGGATGGAGGCCAAAAGAGAACATTTGACTACATAACAAACACATCTTCATGGAAACAAAGTCTTAATTTAAAGTGAAATAAGCCATGGTTCAATCAAGAGAAACACAAAATGTTGACCTACAGTAATAATTAATTTATTCCACAAATAGCTAGGAAACTCAGCAGTTTTATTTTTTTTCTTCCCCCTCTTTAACATAAAGGTGTGCTTACACTGTCATTTGGGAAAGAAAAATCAATGATGTAATGCAAGCAATTCACATTGAAGGTTTTGTTAAAATGGTAACATCTATGCTTTTGAAAATGTCTTTGAGCTTTATCTTCCCCTATTATATTTCTACAACTTGCAAGTTTTAAAAGCAAAATGTGCTTTATTCATAATAAGACTCCACTAGTCATCACTAATTCCTAAGATGCACTGCTTCCTTCCCCTTCATCTTTCTCCCGACACTGTGTATTCTCATCTAAGAAAACTCTAAAGATACATAGCCTTATTTAAATGAAGGATGGAGCAAGAGGACATTATCCTGAGCACATCACTTTTTAAAATGAAGGCTAGATACATTAGATGAAGCTTAAGGATGTGTGTAAAGTGTCAAATTGAAGTAAGAGGCTTAAAAAAAAAAAAGTGAAGGGAATCTAAAATACACACTGGGAAGGGAGGAAATGAGAAAAGGAAATGTGACAACTGCTTGAAATAAAGGAGATATAGCACAATTTGTAGAGAAAGACATGCCCCAAACTTAAGTTTTGAAGAGTAATGCTTCTGTAGAAAATGATAAACAATTGAAGGAGACAAGTGTACCTGCCATTAATAGACCCAGGGGTGCAATGGGAAGCAAAGGCAATTCCTTGTGCTAACTTTGTTCTCTCTCTCTCTCTCTCTCTCTCTCTCTCTCTCTCTCTCTCTCTCTCTCTCCCTCTCTCTCTCTCTCTCTCTCTCTCTGTGTGTGTGTGTGTGTGTGTGTGTAGCTTAAAATTTCAGAAAGCTGAAAAGAACTGAACATCTCATGTTTCTGTGCCTAAAGGTCTTGCTAGTTGATTTGTGACATGGGGAAACAGTGTGTTCACAGTTTATAAACTCTCTGTACATGTTTGGGAGAGAGGGAATGACTGCCAAGGATCTCTGCTGCTCTGGACTCAGATTTAGAATATTTGCTGCCCTGAATTTAAGTAAAAGGAACCATGTTAGCGTCCAAATAATCTGGATATCCAGAGGTTTGAAAGAGCCAACACTGAGCAATGTTTATGAGTCTGGACATGTTTCTTAAACTGCCCTTTAGTTCCTTGTCTTGTGAAATGGAGACAGGAAGGGCTCCTTGGAAAGCCTGCTGTGATACATAGAGGGAAGTCTCTAGCACAATGCAAAGCAAATGGAGACATCTAGCTTAATTCTTTTCCTTTAGTTCTCATTACAAAAGAAAAGGGGAGGGGCTAATGAAATGACTGTAAAATATGAAAACCAGGCAGTATCAATCAGACAAAAGCTGAGAGATAATTAAATCTTTGTTTCATTTCAATTTTTCTTTAGTTTTCAAGAAATAAAAGTAAAATAATTGCTATACTCTGTATACCTCTGAGTGTTTTATATTTTATAGCCCACTCTGTTTAGGGCTGCAAAACATAATTGTTTGACTTGGGTACTGGACCTGACATTTTGTCTGACATGTTGAGGTCTTTACTTAGAAGCAATGTTAATAACTGAAAAACATTTCATCATGAGGAATTTAAATGCACAAGAAGCAATCGACATTATAAAATCTCCTAAGGATTTTTGTCTTATGCTTCTTTCTAGTTTTCTCTAAATAAACATTGTTTTTAGTGCTACTACTGTATTTATTCCACAGTTAGATATTGCTGAGTTTAGAGAACTGATAGACAGAGTAAAGGATGCCTTCCTTTGTTAGGGATATAACCACAGTGTAAGAATATTAGGTAAAACTTAAACAGTGAGATGAAAAACTCAGGAAGTTTGTGGAGGAATATATCAGAAGTAAACAAGGAGGAGGCTGTGTTGTCAAATCCTAGACAGATATTTAAATTACATTTCAACTTTAAAAATGTCAGGGTAGCTCAGCTGGTTAAAGCACTTGCCTCCAAATCTGACAACCTGGGTTCAGTCCCTCAGACCCACAGAGTAGAAAGCCAGACCTGGTTACTACAAGCTGTCATAATGATTTGCACACATACACTGATAGTACACATAAACATAAACACACAGCAAAAAATATAATTTTCAAAATTTGGGGGAAAGGGAATGGAAGTATATTTGACCCAATTAAAGTATATCTGTGTAGGAACATTAAATAAAATCTCAAATGAAAACGGTAAAGCAAAAAGAAGCAAATGATTATATATGCAGAATACAAACATTACTACATTAGTATACCTTCTTCTAGATATTGTTAAATTTCTGACTAGGTGTGCAGATATTTTTTTTCTACAAAGTACAACAAGTATTTTTCTAGCACTTCTTATTTCTATTTCAGAATTACTGAAATTAATAATTTAAAATTTTTTACTTGTATTAACCCATTTGGTTAATTGTATCTTATTCTCCAGGCTTCTTATAGAATTGTTCTTTACATACATCACAAATGTCTAATTAAAGTTCTAAGCTGATGAACAAATACCATCACACAAACTTGGACTGTAATTCCCCATTATATATTTTCTATGTAATGAGAAGGGGAAACATGGAGTTCTTCTGAATAAACTATGCTACAATTTACTTAACCACCAGAAGGGTCCATACAGTAATAGATGCAATGAAAAAGGCAGATTATTCTAGAAAGAACTCCTACAGGAAGCATGCATGGGTCTTAGAGAAGCAGGGAAGTGGCTGTATGTGTATAAAGATGAAAAGTACATGTTAAGGGACCCTGGTTGGTTACTACCTACATGTAGAGTCCAAGCTCTGCAAGTTTGTATGATAAACAACCTGCCTTCCTCATGCCGAGCAATGGCATCTAAAAAGTCTGTTCTGTGAAGTATTCACATGAAACTGCACTGCCTGGATAAGCAGTAAACCACCCAAGGCTGAAGGAAATAACAAATATCCAAATGGTTTATCTTTATATATTCATTTATTCACAGCTCCTTTATTAATGCTATACTCTAAGTACATTTTGAATTTTACTCAAAACAACTTTTAAATATTAAAAGAAGCTCATTTGAATTAAAAGAAATTGAACTTTGTTCTACCAACCAAATACGATGAAACATTTATTTCAAGTAAGTGGTTTGGGATATTAAACTGCCAGGTGATAAAATCAGGCAAAATCAGGCAAGATATGGAGCAAGGAAAACAAAGTTTTTTTTTTCTTTTTCTAATAAGAACAAGTGATGCCTGAGTGTTTTAAGAATCAGAACAAAACAAAACAAACAAACAAAAAAAAAAAAAAAAAAAAAAAAAAGGAAAAATACAAGCAGCGGGGCCCACTAAAATTACAGCTTCTAGAGACATGTAAGTGTCCATGACTTGTGATGTCCCAAGTGTCCTGCTTGTGATGTCCCAAACAGGAACCAAGAATCTACTAATACCTGTGAAAGCCTATCTGGAGCAAGGCAGTGATAATGTGACTTTAGGACTGACTTGGAGACCAGTGGTGGGCATTATCACAGTGAGTTCAAATGTAATATCACCTCACCTTCTGCATGATTCCCTTCTCATAGTAATAGCGGAGAGAACGGCTAAGTTTGTCGTAGTTCATAGCTGGCCTGTTCTTCTGAATGCCCCAACGCCGGGCCACCTGCCACCAAACAGAATCACATTGTCAGTAAGCAGTCTTCTGCAATCACACTGTTCAGTGTTAGTGGCTTACACACACACACACACACACACACACACACACACACACACACACACACACAAGTTCATCAACGTTTGACTTCTAAATACACAAAAACGCCTGCAAATCCAAGGCATAAGTCAAGCAGCAATGGCTTTCATGATCTGAATTTCCTGTGCCCTGGTTTAAACCAGGCATGCAGTCCTCTTTCTTAAAGGTCACAATAGAATTCTTTGTCACCATTGTTTTGGGTAGAAATTAAATGGAAATAAGGGAATTTGTTTACATCAGGAAAGAACAGGCTGCAATTGACCAAAACGAGGCAGATTTTCCCTTCTGTAATACACAGGCAGTCTTTTCCTTCCTGGACATTCAGGCAGAAATTCCAGATGAACTGCTTAATGACCCCTTTGTAAAGGTGTTTTATTGCATTTGTGACAAATGATAGAGGAAAAAAAAAGAGAGAGAGACCCTGCTCACATTGTGCAAAAAGAAAGGACAACTGGCTGTGTGTCAGCCGAGGAAACAGAATGCCGATTAATAAGTTGAACTACAAATAATTGTTGTTGCCCAAGGCGGCCTCTGAAAAAAAGCTAGAGCCAACAGCAAACTGGAAAATTACACTCATTTAGGAAAACTTAATTGGATGCTAAAAATAAGGTGGAAGTGGAAAAGACACCATGAATATGAGTCTTTTTTTTGTTTTGTTTTGTTTTTTTTTTTTAAGCAGAATGTCCAGTTGTCCAGTGTGGTTTAGTAAAGGTCTCAGGAGGTTTACTCTTTGGCTATGTGGAACATGGCATCAGGTTAAGGAAGAGCCCTGCAGCAGAGCTTTGGAAGCACTTCCCAAAGGTGCCATTTGCCTCATCATCACACTGGGTGGATGGAGGCAGACAGAGGAAGTGAAGTCATGATATCTTTAACCCCTCTCCTTGGTTGGCTGAGGAGAAACCACGCACAGCCTAAGCAATGCCAGGACAGCATCTTCACCAGAGCCATGGCCTTTTGTTTCCAGGAAATTCTGAGTTGTCCTGTCCCACAAAGGAACTCCTCAAAGACATCTGTCTATTCCTCTCCTCTTCATTAGCAACAGCCTATCTGTTGTCCCCCACCCCCACCCCGTAATCTTTAAAAACAACAATTCTTACTGTTTTTCTCTGTCACTAGTTTTTATTCTTGGAAGGAACATACAATGGTCTTTAATCACATGTCATGGTATACTATTTGTAAGTACAGTGACACGATAGAGCAAAGACAACTATCCATTCTAGCTAGCAGTCATGATGGTGGATACATCTTAATTATCCACAAACTCTACAGTAACTATTTTAAGTAATAGTGAATAGAGCAGGGAAAAAGATGGCAATACAAAATAAATGCAAGCCAGGAGTGGTGAGATATGCTGGTAATTCTTGCACATGCGAGCTGAGTATGAGACTAGGGCTATGGCAGGAGAGTTATGAGTTCCAGATGACCCTAGGCTATGAAACCCTGAAATGTCCAAGAGAAAGGAAAGGAGGGGAAAACAGGAAGGAAAAAGAGGAGGAAGGGAGGGAAGGAAGAAAGGAAGGAAGGAAGGAAGGAGTGAGTTTGGGTTTTCTTTTTTTAAATAACAAAAGATGTCAGTGGCTCAATTCCCTGCATGGGAATCTCAAGGAATGTGAAGTGTTGGTAAGCAACAAATCCCCAAAACATTCATTTATAAATGAGTCTTTTCTAGAATTTTACCAGAGTTCACTTCAAAATTAAAATGCAACAAACTTTAAGGCACCATAGAAATCTCTGGAGTAACTTGGTAGTTGGAAATACTGTAAAAGAGGTTTGTAAGAGTTTGATTCCTATAATGCCAATTAATTCTCAGCACTATGGATTACTAGTCTGGGCTTTAGAAAGTATGCTCTTAGAATTATGCTGTCATAATTGGCATGCACCCTTACTGTCAATTTCATTAAGTAAGTCAGTATTTTAGTTTAAGTGTGACTCCATACTTATATTAGTGTATCTTTCTGGTGTTGGTGTTAGAACTCAAGGCCCTGTGTGTGCCAGGCAAGCACTATGTCAATAACCTACATCATCCAACCCACTAACTTTGGAAGGTAATGCTTGGATAAGAGACAGCAATCCTAAGTCAGGGTCTGGCAGTCTGACTGGTATCTATCTAGCTTGAGCATCATCAAGACTGTGGAATGGAACCCTACAGGTGTCTTACTGGGTTAAGGAATGTTTCTGGATGACTGATTAATTTGGAAATAATATACCGTTATCTTGGATACCTGGAAGAGACAGCCGTGTTTGCTAACGTTATCCTAACACACTCAGCTGATAAGTAGGACAGATTCAGAAGTGTACTCATCATTTTAAACTAAGAGAGGAAACACGAGAAAATAAAACCTATAAGCAGTACAACATGGTGGTTCCCATAACATCACTCATGGATTGTGGTGGTCACAACACTGAAAGGTCCGTTATATAGCAGAGGGTAAGAGAGGCAGTGTGGGCCACATAGATGAAAACCATTCACAGTTAGAAACTGGAAAAGATAACACAGTCATTGACTGATGGATATGATTATAAGTGTGAGCTAGGCTAGGCAGCAATCAGAAATAGGATATTTCATTTTTTAAAATTTGTATTTGTTTATTTAGTGTGTGTGTGTGTGTGTGTGTGTGTGTGTGTGTGTGTGTGTGTGTGTGTGTGTACATGAGTCTGATGACAGTGTCTTCATCAATCACCCTTGACTTCCTCTTTTGAGACAGGGTCTCTCACTAAACCTGGAACATGCTGATTCAACTACACTAGTTAGTTGGCCAGTGTGTCACTAGTATCTTTCTGTGGCTGCCTGCAGAGCACGGGGATTAAAGGTGTCTGGTGCCACACCAGGCTTTTATGGTGGCTGCTGAGAACAGAGACCAAATCTTCATGCTTGTGCAGAAGCACATTATTTACTGAGCCATCTTCCCAGGCCCCTAGGAATGGATATTGACCAAAAGCTTAGGAGACACGTGGTACCTATTGCACAACTCCCACTGAGCTAGTTACCATTTGGAAACAGTCAACCGACTGAATGACTCGGTCTTGCTTTTGACTTTATGCACCTGTGACAGCCAAGTTGTTGAAATGTCAGCTATATAAAACAGATGTGATTGCATATCTTCCCCGCATTTAACTGATCACAGAAACTCAGGATGACGGCACTAGCTGGCCAGCTAGTCAGATCTTCCACTCTTTTATTCAGACCCAAGCATTTAAATGTCACGGGTTGTTGTATGAAGAACTTCATCACTAGGAGAATGTGGGTTCTTCTGAGTGGCTCAATGTCACTGACATCATTCAGTAATGTCTCCTGTCCTAACAAATATGACAAAAGTGAAATGTCTGTTCCTGTTCAGTTTATTTTAATCACAGGTGGAGGGAAATGGCTGTTTAACTGACACAAATCCCTGTTGAACTTTCGCAGTCCAAGTCCTTTTGGTTATTAAAATCTTCCATGAAGGGGGAGCACACAATCCCTGGTCATGGAAATGGACTTTGGGATTATTTTGCTAGGCATCTTCAGTCTCTGCAGCCTACATCATATTTGTGTGGTTCTTCATTTAACTTCATTTCAGTACAGCTACAGAAAACCAAAGCTTCTTTATAGCCAAATGGAGCGTACACGCAGAACTTAAACACCCAAATATTTAGCAATGGTATTCCCACTTTTGAGTCCTCTGTGTGTGTTTGGTGTGAAGCCAGGACTCTGCTGCAAAACCAGCCCTAGGAACAGATGCAAACTGTTGTAAACTTAGAGAGACCATTACATTCATTGGTAAAGACCATGAAATGAATTAATAATGTTACATTGTTTTGACCTACTTTCAAATTTAAAATATGTGTATATAGTTTTAAAACTTTGTATATAACTTTCTAGCATATTAACCAAGTCTGTTTATATTATAGGACATTTTGATTTCCTATTCAAGATCTACTCGACTAACCTCTTCAGGCTCAATCAGTTTAAATTCCATGCCTCGTCCAGTCCAGGCAATGAAATGAGAATTTGAAGGGTCGTCCAGAAGAGCTACCAAAAACTGCCAAAGCTGAAGGGATCCTCGCCTCTGGTATGTGGGTCCTTCCCGGTACATTCCTGGCTCTTGCTTAATGTCCCCTAAGTTCAAAAAATAAACTATTATCAGCAATATTATGTCATTTGTATACAATTTACACCAAATCGGCCATGAGAATGGTTAAACACAATCACTTCATGTATTTTGTAACAGTGCCAATTAAATATAGATTTAAAATAATCAAATGTTTAAGTGCAGACCAACAATCTACAGAAACTTGCAGACAGCTTTAACAATATATATTCTCACTGGTAGGAATAAATTCATAAACATCATTTACTTATAAAAACCTAATACAGATTGTCTATCTTGCCTTCCCATCTTTAAAAACCATGGTACCTGATCACACTCGTTTGATTCTGCTGAGTTACTGCTGTTTCTCTCTCTCTCTCTCTCAGAAGACATAATCAGCTTTAAGCTCTGTGCATTTTACTTGTATAAATTAATTTCTACAAACTATAATTTGTAAATACCTTATTGACCCACATATGACAAGCTACTGAAAATCTGAGGGCACACATTTCAACGTAAATTCAGTAATATCATAAAGTCTGAGAGACCTGCACTTTCTATGAATTGGGAAACTCAAAGGAGTCTGTAGCATTATGGTTCCACCTATCCTGCCTTCCTCTGGAAGTGACTGCTTTTCACTGGGCAACAAAGGAAACAATGTTCTTGATATATGCACCTTGCCTGCATCTTGTTCATTTAATTCAATTTTTGGTCTTTTGATGTGTTTTCTGAGAAAATGGTTCTCTGCATAGCCCTGAACATCCTGGAACTCACTCTGTAAACCAAGCTGACCTGGAACTAAAAAATCTGCCCACCTCTGCCAGCTGAGTGCTGGGATTAAAGGCGGTCTACACCACCCAGTTTGCTAGTCTTTCCTTTAAACTTGAGAATGAATGTATATGAATGTACATGAATTCCTTTTAAACTAGATGGCTCAGAGACCTAAGGTAGAAGCAAATACAATTAACCAAAAAAGCAAAACAAAAGACAAACCAAGAAACTAGAAGAAGAAGAAGAAAAGAAGAAGAAGGAGAAGAAGAAGAAGAGAAGAAGAAGAAGAGGAAGAAAAGTAAAGATCCCTAAGGATATTCTGCTATACTCTTAGCCTTGATATGAGGGTATGTGCTTAGTCTTACTGCATCTTGTTACACCATGTTTGGTTATTATCACTGGGAGGTCCACTCTTTTCTGAAAGGAAGGGAAATGGAGGAACAGTGAAACTGGGTGGGGAGGACTGAGAGGTGTAGATGGAGGGAAGGATGCAGTCACGATGTATTGTGTGAGAGAATTAATAATTTTAAAAAGTATGTATACCAGAGCATTCTATGAAATAAATATTTTAAGAAAAAAATGTGAGCTCTATGTAGCTGGTATAAAAGCATAAAAATTTAATATGGGTAAATGTGTTAATAATGCTTTTGCTATATAACTGTTTTGGCTTTTCAATGCAAAATACTAAACCAGAACACTTGGCGTTGTGACCAGTAGTTATTTTCTTCTAATTCTGGCCATGCATTTCAAAACTACATGAGCCTGCCTGTAATTCACAGGGCCTGGCTAAAGCCTACAGATAGGTCAGATCTCTTCTTTGTTGAAGAAACAATTCAGGCAAGTAGCTCTATTCACACTAAGTGTGAACTACAAAATAAACTAAACCATAAGGTATCCAGTAGTCAGTAAGTAGAAACACACCTCATCACATGATCAGAAAAAAAAAAAGCAACACTTAAACAGCAACACAAACACACAGAATTATTCAGTCAATGACCACTAAAAAAATCAGGAAGTCCTTTTTTCTTTTTCTTTAAAGAGGCAATATAGGAGTATGTCTTTATATTGATTTCAAAGTCAGTTCAGTTTTCTTTATCTCAGATTATTCCTTCTAATATTTCCATTTCCCCCCCCCATGAAGCAAGTGAGCACTCATGCAGACAGAGTGAAACCTTGTGAAATGTAGTTTCTATGGTGTTGAAGTCCATACATACAACTTATTCAATTCACTACATGCAAAAATTCCTCTTTCCTTTGCTTCTTGTTCCCTAACACTTAAAATGCAAGACATATAACATATATCGTGTGTGTGTGTGTGTGTGTGTGTGTGTGTGTGTGTGTGTGTGTGTATGTGTGTGTGTGTATGTGTGTTATATAACAAAATCACAGTATTTGAAGTCAAAGAAAGCAAACTAGGATAGCCAGGTGCCAGCATTCTACTTTGCTCACAGTTTTAAGGTACTTTCCCTCTTTATATACCCATACTAATTTTAAGATTGTTTAAAGTGTGAAACTCACAATAAATGATACAAATTCCAAAAAAGCAAGTTTTAAGCACTATGTCAAAAAAAAAAAAAAAAGAAAGAAAAGAAAAAAAAAAAAAGCTGAATTTTAAGAACTATGATGGGGTGCTAATAAGTGTAGTTAACACAACTCACATTTCTGAAATACTATAGAAGAAAGCCAGAAAAGTGATTTCTTTTGGGGTTCATTCCATGACCTTTAATAAATTAGGCTACCTTAAGGGAGGCTAAAGAAACAGATTTTCCTAAAACTTACCATCCTTTCCAAAAACTACAAGAGCAGCAAGAAGCTTGGCAGTTAAGCCCTCAAGTAACTAATTATAGGAGACTGAACAGCAGTCTGAGCATACACTTTGCTGTTTAAATAATGACAATTAAAAACTCTGAGAGCACCAAATCATTACAGCCGAGATCCCCAAAGTTTTTGCAATCAGCTAATCAGAGGGCCCCTGCTCATTTCCTGTTTGACAATCAAAGCAGGAAATATGGAGACCACTCCGAAGAACCAGTAAATGAATTAACCGTTCACTTTTCCTCCAAGCTTCTTTGTAAATGTCGGCTTTTGCCACCACGCATGTCAAGAAAAGAAGATTCTATCTGCTTTGACGCTCTTTTCTAATATCTGGGACCCTTTCATTGCACTAGCAAGAGATGTTTAAAAGGTAATGCTTTCCTTACTTCCTTTTAAGCAATTACGACATAATGCTACATTAGCAATGTACATCTTCCTTGGTGGGAGAGTGGGGGGCAAGCAATCAGCAGACTCAATGGGCAGTTATGTAGGTCTTGTGCTCCATAATGCATCTTTTCATGAACAATAAAAAGAAAGGAGGCTGCATTAGTCATCAGTGCATCCACAGTAGCATGCTTTCTGTTCTGCTTTGTTAATTACAGGATCAGCTTTCAGTAAATCTCAAATAACAAGCTGCATGTGCTCAGCAGGGCAATGGAAAGATGCCTTGCTCTACACAAAGCACAGCAACAATGTTGTACTTCTGCTCAGTCTCCAAAAAAAGGACTCTCATGGAACCACAGAGAGGAGAGAAACAAAGGGAGGGGGAAGTGAAGGGAATGCTTAGTAACCTCACTAGTCCTTAGTGCTTAGTGTGTGATAAAGGATACGCATGGAAACCTCTAAGTGCTTTCAGAAAAGGAAAGTGTGTTCTGCACTCACAAAAATCAAACAATGTACCTGAGAGAAACCTACCATCGAACTTCTCTGGGACAACACAGGTGTCATCATAGAACTGCCTGGGGCCCTTTTCAAACATGCAACCTGTTGGGGGAGAGCAGGACATAGTTATAAATGATAGAATATGCAATTAAGTTGTCAATTTCCACATCTATCAAATGGGAATGAGAGTAAGAACTGAATAGTTTTTGTGCATTCCAGTTTAGAAGGACATGGTAGCATAGTGATGTGTAACCAGTAGAGATATGCTGACTTAACCACACCTTGCCAAAAATACTGGCACACCTGGGCTTTATAATGCTTCATTTAATTTTTGGACATTTTATTTCATTATTCATTATTCAAGAAAAGGACAGCAAAGTGAATTTCTGGCATTGTCCTTGATTTCTGGTGTTGTCCTGGCACTCAGAAACTGATTTAGTTTACCCTTTACTTTCTTGTAGAAATATCTTGGAATGAAAACCTTCTCACTTTAAAATCATTTTTATTATACTTTGTTTATGTGCTGTGCATATAACACAGCATGGGCCTGTCAGTTGTAGGACAACTGGCAGTAGTGGGTTCTTCCCTTCTGTCATGTGAACTCAGCTCACTAGACTTGGTAGCAATCACCTTCACTCACTGAGCCATTGGACTCACCTAACCCTTCTCATCATTAATAGCCAAGAGAGTAAGAACAGGGGTTTTATTGTTGTTTCTCTGCTGTGCTATAATATAACTGTGCTCACAGAAAAAGTAAAATTAAGCTGATAACTTTTATCATCTTCTCTCTCACATATACTGGATTTTACCTAATTGTCATCTTTAATTATGGGCTGAATTTCATAGAATCTAAACATAGCTTTACTTCTCAAATGTAATGTTCTTTACAGTAGGTTGGTAATAGTAATAACACCAGCAACAGTAATTATATCATTGGTGCAAAGCTTTTTCTCTGAATTATTCAAGATTTACTGTCTTCTGCTGTCACTTTAACATCTATTAACATCCTTCACATAACATCATGGATATTAATCCTAACTGAAGATGTTCTATCTAAGGCAATTTTTCTGAAGAAACATATTGTTTAAGTCATAGTTCCAGAAATCCTTCAGGAGGTAATATCCACATAAAATCAGTTCTTGTCTATTACTTTGCAGATGTCAAAATCTATTAGTGCAGAGAGTTCCACTGTGCTTACCTAAAATAATAACTCCTCTATACAGCTAATGTCAATCTGTTCTTAATAATGACTTTTCCAAAAGGTACAAAATCCAGGACATTGAAAGGCAAAATCATCCTACCATGTTTTACTACAAAACTGTGACCTTGGTTCATAAGGTCATAGCTGAATTATTCTTTAAGATCTATGTCCATCGAGTGGAGTAAGTTACATAATCTGTAAAGAGTAATTTCTAGTTAAAAAGATTGCCAGGTGCTGGCAGAAAAGAACACAGATATTGGTGTGGATAAGGTTCACTCACGCTAACACCCACGTACAAGCTACCAAGATGTTAAAGACTATCCATTTATTTTCAAAAGATAGAGTGTGGTTTGTGTTTATCTTTGCCTTGGTAGGGTCTGACTCCAAGGCCTTGAGTATATTAGCCAAGCATTTTGCCACTGATCATACCATGTCCCCAAAGTATAATTTTTAAAATATTTTGGGAACATAAATGTGTTTCCCAAATCACTCAATGAATGAGTAAGACAATCCAAATTTGTAATGTGAGATTGTTTTTAATGTTACTTATAAGGAATTTTTTAAAAATGGAGAACTTAACTTCTGTTCTGCTTGGATGAGCCAGGAAGCCTTCTTGCCGCATATAAATGGAGTGGCAGCTAGGCACTTCTGCAAGAAAAAACAAAATTTGTCAAGGAAAGGCAGGTTAGAAGGACAGGACAGGTGGAAGGTAGATAGAAACGAACTAAAACATAGAAAGTCGAGATAAGCAAGTCTGTCAGCACAGGCTGAACATTTTTAGTGGGAACATCAAGAAAGTGAGGCTTAATGTATCACAGTGAAGGAAGACTCTCTTAAATAAGCAGGTGAACATAGTTTTACCAACTCAACTTTGCTGAAGTTTACTAATACCATATGGATATCATATCAGTGCATTTAAGGGCAAGTGTAATTAATTTATATACTCCACATTAGTCTGTCTGTGCACACTGCAAAGAGCAAAGGCTTGGCAATGGATGACTTCACAAATACTAGAAAAAATAGAAACGATAGAATAATTTAATCTCATGAGTTATTTTGAGCCTTCTAACGTTTTTAACTGTCTTAGATAACAGCGTACCTGGCTTTTCACTTTAATTGGGAATATGTTCAAAGCTAACAATGAAAGTACATAATAAACAGTTTCATAATGCCCTTGCTAAGAAAAAGCGCCACCTATAGGGTCCAGTGATCTGGAAGAGAAAACAAACATGGCTAACTGTGAAGCTCGACTCAGCACTGACTCAGAACTGAACAGGTTTAATGATTTGACATGGAAAACAAAATAAACATAGTTCAGGAGACATATGATTCCAATTCAAGTCCTTATTAGTTTGTAACCTACTTAAGTTTGGACAAATATTTTTTTTTGTTTATTTTTCTTGTTATTTCTATAAAATAACGGGTTGAGAGATGTTTCCTGACCCCTATTACTGTTGTCTAGTTCCCTGGTGCTGAGGGCATATTCACTCAGAAACCAGAGATAGGTACAAGGCAAACCCCAAAATTAAAGGCCTTCCTGTACATGGGGAGTCCCTTCTGAGCCCTACCTAATACTTATTTTTGTACTTCATTTGTATCTATTTTTCTTAAAACTAGTTCTTCAAAACACAAGTTTCAGATCTTCCAAACTGAGGCATACCCTTGAATGTATAAACAATTGATCAAGTCAATTGTGTATAGTTTTTTGCAACACTAATAAAAAAGAAAAGGAAATATGCACCACAAATGCAAAATTTAATACAGAAAAAAAAAATCCATCCCTCCCAATGCTTGTCATTCAAGTACACCATCCTTAAAAAATGATTCTCAAAGGCCAGTCTTTTCAGGCCTGTTCATCTACACACTCATTGTAACAAGAGATAATCAATACCCTGTATTTGGCCTGGTTTATCCCTTGATCTAGAATTTCCCATTTTCAAAATCAGTATTTTTTGTTTGTTTATTTGTATGGTTTTGTGCAAGTGATAATTTTTCTGGACTAATGATTAACATCAACACACATATGAGCAATTTTAACATAAAAATATATAATCCATGTGGTTTTAAGCTAAAATGTTTCACCAATAAGCCATAATTTTAACAACATTTTAGAAGTATGGTTTTGGTGGTACATGCCTAGAATCCCAATAGTCAAGAGGCTGGGGAAGAAAGCTTGTGAATTTAAGGACATTCAGAGTTATATAGACTCTCTCAAAACAAAACAAAGCCAGGGATGGAAGAGGCTGGGCATACAGTTCAGGAGTAGAACCCTTGCATAGCAAGCATTGTTCCTATGCATAATTCCAGCATCAGAGGAATAAAATTAAATACTTACATGAAATAAAAGCACATAAGAAAGCATAGTTTATGTGGTAAAGACAGTGGAAAACTTTCGAATATGCACTTTTCTATAACATTGTACAATTTATCATTAGTGCACAATTCTGAGTCTATGAGGGTAAAGTAACTCTTTTCCCGACCGTCTTGATAACAGGCCAAATAGTTAGCAATCACTTTATTCCAACTTAAAACTAATGATGAACCTTCAAATTAATTTTTAATGTTATTCTGATTTATTGCCAGGCAGAAGGTCCCTCAAAACAGCTGGGCCTAGAAGGGACAGTGTTAATGACTTCAGTCAGTGCAACAGCTGCTCAGAGGCAAGCATTTTGCTGTACTGATGTTGATACCATGCCACAAAAATACTCTTAGTGATTTCAGCACACCTGGAGTATGGCTGTAAGAACAGCTGGCAGGCTCTGAGGAAGCTAGAGGAAAAGACAGAGGCTGAAGTCTATTACATGTAAGTGTGAGTAAAACCGCTATCCATCCCAAAGGGAAAGAGAAAGAGGAAACAAAAATATTTCTGAGGAAGCCAGTACTGAAAGATGCAGGACACTTATAGAGTATTCTAACGTGGTGCAAAAATAGTGTAATCCTGGAAATCTAGACATAGTGTTAGATATACTTTATGCATAATTTGTTTAATTCTCCTCATCTAGAAAAGCAGCTGACATCTCAATTGCTGCTCTCCCACTGTACTGTTCTTCAAAAATTCTAGGTCTACTTAGATATTTAAAACAAATTGTTCTAAAATTTATTTTAATAGTCAGCAACGTGTAATAAGGCTCAGACTAGAATTTTCATCACAGTTTTCATAAGACCAATATGTGATTTACATTTTTAAGAAGACAATGGGTGGCAATTTATGGAGAGAATTTTGCTTTTCCAAATCCTGCCATTTATTACACAAGAGTAAATAAAATTAGCAACTAGCTTTTAAAGGCAAGGCCTTGGCTAGCATTTTTAAATCCAGTCTGCCCTTTAAATGGATGCCATTTATATAGTCTACAGAAGCCAGAAAAAAAAAAAATCAAATAAAAGAAAAAGCTAGGAGGTTTATTCACATAGAATAAATGAAGTCATGTTATTCTAAAGTGATATCAGTTAATTTATGACTATCAGAGTGGGTCAGACTCTAATCAAATTGTAGAAACATTTCCAAAGTGATTATTCAATCAAATGACTAACATGGTTAATTAGGGGCCGTAAACATTGCTCTGAAGTTCATCAAAGTAATGACTTGCCCAGAAAAATTACTGCTAATTAAATTGCCTGCTGCTTTCATTTCTACCTTATCTAATAAAAAAAAGTCCAACTGGTGAGACTTGGCATTCCATTTGAACTTTTGCTAAATGTTCCACAAAGATCCAAGTTGGACTAAGTAGTGATTTCAAAGGACAATGTTTGGTGACAGAGAATGGAGGTGTCGCTGGGCAGGGCCTTCCATTTTCCTGTGGAAGGAAGGACAATGTAATAGCAACAACTCACTGTGGCCTGACCTATGCAAACATGCTAGGACAGCAGGACACATATATTATCCTATCTGGAATCCTCTGATTAAAATTTTAGGATAACCAGCTCAGCACAGTGATTGCCAACGGCCACTTTGTCACCTACTAGGCACAAAATTGAAATCTAAGGTCTCTCATTTAATGGGAGTGTGTAACAGCTTTTTCCTCAACCTCCTCATCTGTAAAATGGGAGTGCTTGTGATACTTTTAAAAGTGATGTTAAGAGGAACATATGGAATGAGTTGATGTTATATATCTACTAGTATATGCAGAAAGAATTTAGAATATAATTACATATTTAATAATTTACTTACAGACCTTAATTTTGTGCTCCTACATCACATGAACTGCTTGATTTTTTTTGGTTAGTGCAGTTATTCTGGGATAGACTCTGTAAATCTATCTCTTAATCTATGATATCTAAAACTATATTGATTAAACAGTCATCATGAATTTATGATTAAGCCAGAATTTCCACCAGATATTTTAAATACCCAAGGATCCATCTTTGAACTTCATATTTTTGCAATATTAACCCTTGTTGTTTGTTCTTAAATAACACTGGCTTAAGAAGGTTAAAAGTAAGTCTATAAATTGGATTATGTAAATTGAATTTAGGACAAAGGATTTTTATTGATGTAGAAACTTGTGGATCAAAGCATTCTAAAACTGGATATTAGTGCTGACCAAATCAGCTCACAGAAATCACAGTGCCTGTAATTTGTTACAGATGAGCTCTTGTGGTGATGACAGCTGATCTAATATGCTGTAAAAATTCAAAGCAGTCAAGTGCTGCTGGCATCTTCAGGCTTCCATGCACGGTGGTGGAAACAAGAACAAAGGACTGTAGGTCTCCAAACTTCCCACTTGGGTTAGGCATCATGTATTATTACTTTTAAAGGCATCAGATTTGAAGTGATACAAAAATATCATTTCATATCAGGATACATGTGCAAGAAACTTAAGAGAAAAAGCTGTTTTCTCCCTCTTTGCATTACAATGTACAGTTTGATGCTGGAAAATACAATATTGACCTGGGAAGCTTTACCAAAAGTTTTATCACAAAATGCAGTTTTGCATTCACACATGTAATATGCCAGGCACTCCTTTGATTTGCATATTTGCTGCTCAGTTGTACAAAATGAAAATTCCCCTAAGGTATCATTTGTGTAAGCTTCCAAAAGCCATGCCAGACCCAGAGAAGGAAGATTAGTCATGATTGGGCAGGGCATTTTTAGTGGTTGCTGAAACTACTTTGTTACCAAGTAGTGTGTAAACCTGGGATTATCTCATATTACAAATGGAATAAGGAGGTTGGAAAGGGAGTCTCCTTCATTCGATGCTTTTGCCTGGATCCCTGCAGTAATAATCATCGTACAACTTAATTCAGCTTTCCAATGTCTTATGGTAAGTGAGAAATCCCAGGAAAGTAAGAATGGCTCAAGATGGTGTCTTTACTTTCCTTTAAATCAGAATGCAAAAGTTAACTGGCTGTAAACTTTGACTCCTTGTAGAAGTGATAGGAATAAGTCAAACCCACATGGAACTATTCATTCTTTCATTCATTCACTTTTAAGATAAGGTCTTACTCTGTCCTCCTGACTGACTCCAACTAGTACTAGGATCACAAACATGAACCACCACTCTAAGTTACATTCAATACATCTGGATAATGGGAGAAAATTTAAAATGCTAAACATATGAAGTCAAAATGATGTATTCTGAAAGTAATATGTATGTAGTATGTGCACTTGCGTGTGCACTTCAATGAAAACCTGGAGGATTTAACCACTT